GAGCATTGTTTGTGTGCAGCCTTTCCAAAGGGAGCTCCCACTTCCCCCTTGCCAGGACAAGATGTGAAATTTCATTCCCATTTTATCCCAATTACTGCCTCAGAATTCTGGCACGGAGCGCTTCCGGTAATGCACAATAACTCCAACATCCAGGGTGCTTTTCCAGTGTTGGATTTAGGGGGGAATTCCTCTGAATTCCCAGTCCATGCCCCCCATCCCAGATATTCCCATTCCAAAGCTCCATCCCACCACTGCTCTTCCAGGAGAGCAGCACAATTCATCTTACCAAAAACCTCATTTGAACCAAAAAGCTCATTTGAGCATTTCTCAAATAAAATTAAACTTTTCCAGACAATTTCTCTTACCTATTTCTCTTACCAAACAAGTCTGAACCCCCAAATCTTCCCCAGCTCAAAATATATCTACTCAACCCCACACACTTGCAAAAAAAAAAACCACTGAAAAATCCCATTTGGCTCCAAAAAGGTGTATTTGCTCCTGGAGAAATTGGTGACAGCGATTTATAAGGCTGTAAATAATTATTTTCTGGTTTATTTGGATGGTCTCCTGCAGATTCAGGGAGGCAGAGCAGTGAGGAAAAGTTCTTTTTTATCCCCTCCCTTATTTAATTTTAAAGGCCATGTGCAAGGAGGAGCTGTCAGGCAGGAATGGGAAGCAGAGGGACTTTTGGGATTCAGGAATTGGCTGGAGCGGACAAGGCAGCTCTTCACAGCCTTAAATCCCATTTTATATCCCCCATTCCCACACAGGGAGAAATAAACAGAGTTTTGCTGTGATTCTTCGGGGCCTTTATGGTGTTTGCAATGTTCTGTGCTGCTCACCTCGCTCTGGCCCTGCATCTTCACACTGGGACGAGTTTCTGCTGGGAAATGAGCCCTGAAAAGAGTTTACCTGCCTCCAAATGGCTCCAGAACCCTCGGGAAATCCTCTGGAGCTGCACCAGGGGGCTCTGGATGGGCAGAATGGCACCCTGGGCACGGCCAGGGGCTCTGGAGTGTGGCACCAGAGGGAAGAGCTGCAAAGGGGACATTGGAAAATCCAGGACTATTGAATTCAGTGTTTATATATTCAATAATGTCATATTCAGCACTTATAAATTAATATCCAGCCCTATAAAATGTTTTTTAAAATCCACCTCCACCATCAAAGCCGAACGACCTTGAGGAAATCCAACGGGGAATTCTGGTTTTTTTCTTCCTCCTTTTTCTGGCTGAGCAGCCCGGCAGGTTCAGAGCCATCCCTGGGGAAATCCATGGGTTATTTATCCCACTTTTCAGGCCGCCCTCGTGTACACCCCACCCTCTCTCCTACGAGACCCTCTCAGGACGAGAAAACCTTGCGTTAAACGCTGCTGGATCCATCCATGCCTCAAACAGTGCTGGATGCATCCATGCCCTAAAACCTGACTTTAACATTACCAAATCCTATCGGATCTGCTCCCAGCTCTTTCCGAGGAGGAGCAGATTCCCTGCTCTCCCCGTGCCAACCCCAGCGAGCCCCCGGTGCTATTCCAGCCTCCCCGATGTGTTTTTCCAGCAGCGCAGCTCCACATCCCGCTCCCTGCCAAGCCCGCGGCCCGGCGGTGGCGGGGAGGGGGGATCCATCCCGCTAGGAAAACACCGGGAATGGCTTTAGCAGCCCCTCGGCCCCAGCCCCACGTGTTTGTGGGGTTTGTTTGCAGAGCCGGGAGCTGATCCCGCCTGGATTTACACCCAGCCAGGGCTCGCTCAGCCTTAAGCGGGAGCTCAACCCGGAGGAAAATATTGGGAGGGAGTTTTGTTTCTCTTTCAGAGCGCTGGAGGATCCAGGGAATATTCATTCCCCAGGGAGAGAGAGGGGGACACCTGGTCTCCATGGTTTTGGGGGAGCTTCTCCAGCCTCAAGGATTTCACAATTCCAAGATTCCAGGGGGGCTCCCTGTTGGAAGGAGATGTTGGTGTCTCACGGCACCTCCAGAGGCCCCGCGGGTTCGCAGCACTCCCGGAGGAATTCCCAGCACAGAGGTGCCGGTTTTCCCGGGAATGCCGGCAGGGAGAGGAAGGAGCCCGGCTCTGTCCTTTCGCTACATTCCCGGCTCTCCCGGTCCTTTCCAGAGGCCGCTCCTCGCACGCCGCTCCCAGATGTGGCGAGCGGGATTCGCAGGGACCGACCTTCAATGCCCCGCTCCTTCCAGCCCCAGGCTCCGCCGATAACCGGGATTTTCCCCCCAAAACTCAGCGTTTTTAAATATCGAACCCTGGGAAGGAGAGGGGATCCCCGGCACATCCAGAGCTGTGGGATGCGGCTGGAGCCGCACATCCCCGCGCTGCACTCAGGGCATGGAACGAGATTCCACAAAAAAAGCCACCGAAACGGTTCCCGGGCAAAAAAAGCAGGAGAAAATCCAAATAAAGACAAAAGCAAGATGGACCCGTGCGATTTATTGAGGATTTTCAGCGCTCCGTGCTGCCCTCGGACCAGCCACCTTTCCCATCAGGAATTTTTTATTTGAAGGCTCCGGGATCCCGCTCTGGTTTTCACTTTGAGAATCTCTCATCAGAGAACGCAGAGGGATTTTTTAGGGAGAGAGAAAAAACCAAATTGAAATGGAAAAACTCCCGGGGGGATTGGTGTGGTTTTAATCCGGGTGGGTTTGAGGAGCCTCTGGCAGGGAGGGATTTTACGGGAGAAAATCGCTTTTGACAAATATTATTGTTAATTATCGGAGCTGTGGCCTTGACAGACCGGGCAGAGATGCTCAGAGGGAAGCTCTGGAGAAGGATTTTATTTTGCTGAGCTCTCAAACGCTCCTCTTCAGCGACCACGAAGATTTTTTTGGGATCCTCCAACTCCCTGCGTTTGGGCAAAAGGCTGGAAAAAAAAATCCTGTTGGAATTCTGTGCTGTCTCTGACACACAAAGCACAGGCTGAGGCGCCCAGCACTTTCTGAGGGGTTTTCAGAGTGCCTGGTCCCACAGGATTTTCCAGTTTGGTTTGATCCCGATGGAAAAGGAGCTCCATAAACTCCTGTAAGAGCCCCAGCATTCCTGAATCAGCAATGAATTAATAATAACAAAATAATGTAGCACAGAATGGCATTATCAGATAACAACATAACAACAGAATATGTTATTGTTATTGAATAATAATTTAACATCTTTATTCTATTACAGTATAATATTAATTATATTATTTTGGAATAAATAGTCGGGAATAAATACTGGTGAAACACCCAGGACTCCCTACCTTTAACTATTCTCATTTCCAGCTGCTGCAGCAGAAGAACATCCTTGACATTCCTTTCCAATATCCTTGATATTTCCATCCAGTATTCCTGATAAATATATTTAAAATTAAAAAAAAAAATTAAAAAAAAATAAAAGGGAGAAGCTTCCAGAGCTCCCTGCTCTTCTTGATTTTTATTCAGCAAAATTAATGACGTAGAATCACGCCTGTCACCCGAGGCTCAGCCCGGCATGAAAATACCCACAAAATTCCAGCAGCTTTGGCAAAAACAGGGAAAATTAAGGGTTTTTAAATATTTTTTTTGCGCCGGATCGTGTTCAAGCTGGGAAAGAGGGGCTGGAGAAGGGAAAGAGGAGCCGGAGCAGATGGAAACCATCGCGGCCAGGGCAGGGCAGGGAATGGCCAGGGGGGAGCAGATTTCGGGGTCCAGTGCTGCTCCTGGAGCTCCGCAGGGAGCTGGACAGGGAGCAAATTAATTGGGATTTCCCTGCCGCATCTCACCTGAGCTTTCCCTTCTTTTCCTTTCCCTTCTTTTCCTCTCTCTCTTTCCCAATTACTTTCAACAATTTTCTGGTTTCCCTTATTTTTCCTTAGTTATTTTTCTTTATCCTAATTTTAAAAACTATTTTCTTTTTGCTTTTATTTTCTCTTCCTTTTTTTTTTTTTTTTTTCATTTCCCCCAACTTAACTTTCCTTCATCATCTGCCTCTCTTCCCTTCTTATTTTTGTTTTCCTTTCTCGTTTTCTTTTCAGGTTGATTTCCCTCCATCCTCTACATACTTTCCTTAGTTTCCTTCCTATTATTCCTTTCCCTCTATTTCCCTTTCCCCGTTTGCTCATCTCCCTTTCCACCCCCGCTATATCCAGGCGTGCATTCCTGCGGGGAATTCCTGGATCCCGGTGATGTTCCCGGGAACTCGGCAGGGTTCAGGGAACGCGGGTGGCGTGCGGGGAGCAGGTGGGGGAATCTTTTCCTTACGGGATTTTTTTCCTTGGAAATACCTCATCCCCAGGCAGCGAGGGATGCTCCAGCACCAGGGGGAAAAGGCTCCAGGGCTGGGGGGGAAAAGCTCCTCCATGAGGGCAGGGGATCCCCAGATCTCCCAAAAACCCATCCCCAGGGATCCGCAGGGCCGTCACGGCCTCACCTGCCCCCGTCCCTTAAAGTCTTTTGCGGGAAACACTCACGGTCCTCCCACCGAGCTCTCCGTGAGCGGGGATAAAAATCCCCGGGAATCCGGCCGCGTTTGACGGATTCGCCTCCGGGCCGGGTTTTTTGGGGCCGAAACGGGCGGATTTCACTGCCGGCGGCTGGGCAGCAGCGCTTCCTCGGGTAGCCCCCCTGGACAGGGCTCCGTGTCCCCCGAAACGCGCCCGGTCCCGTCCGGTCCTGTCCCGTCCGTCGGGGCTGGAGGTGGGGCAGGTGCGTGTCCCTGTCCCTGTCCATGTCCGTGTCCGTGTCCCTGTCCTGTCCCGGGTGGGAAGAGCTCGGGGAGGGAAGGGGGCACTCGCATCTCGGGGTCCGTGAGCCCCCGCCGTGTCCCCGCCGTGTCCCCGCCGTGCCCTCCCGCAGCTCGGGGGCGCTCGGGGGGTGCCGGTGGCGGCGGCGCGGCCCCGAGGGGGCGGGCGGAGGGGGCGGCTCCCCCGGCCCCGCCGGCCGCGGCCATTTAGGAGCGGGCGGGAGCCAATGGGCGGCGGCGCCTCCGCCGTGACGGCCGCGATTGACGCGGTTCCCACGTCAAATTGATCCCGAGGAGCGGCGGGGGCTCCCCGCGAGCGGGGCTCGCTCCCGGCGCCGCCAGGACCCCCCGGCCCGGCCCGGCCCGGCCCGGCCGCCCCCGCGCTCTCTATGCGGGCGCTGCGCCCTCCCCGCGCCGGGCCATGGGTGAGTGCGGCCCCGCACGGGCTCCGGGACGCTCCGGGACGGCTCCCGGCGGAGCAGGGCAGCGGGAAGGGGCAGGAGGCGGCCGGGGATGCCGGGGTGCCGGGAGGGCTCCGCGCTGCTCCGTCCTCCCCGCGCCTCCCTTCGCTTTCGCTCCGCTCCCTCCTTGCGAGTCCTTCTCCCGTTCTCGTTCTTTTGCCTTCTCTCCTTTTGTCCCGCTCTCCTTTTCTTGTGCCCTTTTTTCCCCCTCCTTGTCGTTTCTGACTTTTCTTTTTCTCTCATTCTTTCCCTGTCTTTCCTCCCCCTCCTTGTTTTACTGTCACTTTTATCTCACTTTTTTTTCTGTCTGTATCTCCCCTTTCTCTCTTTCCTTCTTTCCCCCTTCCCTTGGGCTTTTTTCTCCCTCTCTTTCCCCTTAGCCTCTCATTCTCGTTTTGCTTTTCATTTTTCCTTTTTTCCTCTCCTTCCTTTTTTTCCCCTTCCTTTTTTCTCCTTCCTTTTTTCCTCTTCCTTTTTTCCTCTTTCCTTTTTTCCTCTTCCTTTTTTCCTCTTTCCTTTTTTCCTCTTTCCTTTTTTCCTTTTTTCCTTTTTCCTTTTTCCTTTTTCCTTTTCCCCCTTCTTTTTTTTTCCTTCAAATTTCCTTCCTTTCCCCCCCCTTTCCTTTCCTTCTCTTCCTTTTCCTTTCTTCCCTTTTTTCTTCCTTTCCCCCTCCCTTTCTCGCTTCCCCTTTCTCCCCTCTTTTCCCTCTCCCCTTCCCGCTGCAGCCCCATCCCTACCCCGCGGGCACCACGGCCGCTCCCACCCGCGCCGTGCCCACCCGTGCCGCGCCGATCCGTGCCATGCCGTGCCATCCCGCCCCGCAGAGCACACCTACGGCGAGGTGAACCAGCTGGGCGGCGTCTTCGTGAACGGGCGCCCGCTGCCCAACGCCATCCGCCTGCGGATCGTGGAGCTGGCGCAGCTCGGCATCCGGCCCTGCGACATCAGCCGCCAGCTCCGCGTGTCGCACGGCTGCGTCAGCAAGATCCTGGCCCGCTACCACGAGACGGGCTCCATCCTGCCCGGGGCCATCGGCGGCAGCAAGCCGCGGGTCACCACGCCGGCCGTGGTCAAGCACATCCGCGACTACAAGCAGGGCGACCCCGGCATCTTCGCCTGGGAGATCCGCGACCGCCTGCTGGCCGACGGCGTGTGCGACAAGTACAACGTGCCCTCGGTCAGCTCCATCAGCCGCATCCTGCGCAACAAGATCGGCCCGCTGGCCCCCGCGGGGCCGCCGCCGGCCGCGCTGCCCTGCGCGCACATTTACCAATACCCGTACCCGGGCCCGGCCGCGCCGCCGCCCGCCAAGGCTGCCCCGCACCCCGGGCCGCACCTCGGGGCGCCCCCGGTGCCGCTGCCCCGCTCCTGGCCCTCGGCGCACTCGGTCACCAACATCCTGGGCATCCGCACCTTCGTGGAGCAGGCGGGTGGGTACCGCGCCTTCCGCTCCCCTCCAACCCTCCCGTCCTTCTTTTAGCCCGTTTTCTTGGTCGGTTTAGCGGTTTTTGTCTCTTTGTTTTGTCCCTTTGATTTTTTTGTTCCGTTGGGGTTTTTTTGTTGTTTGTTTGTTTCGAGGTTTTTTATTTGTTTCGGGTTTTTTTTTTTTCGGTTATTTTTTTTTTGTTTGTTTGTTTCGGGGGTTTTTTGTTTGTTTCGTGCCTTTCGGCTCGTTCGGGGATTTTTTTTTCTGCTTGTTTTCGGCTTTTTGTTTGGTTCGTGCCTCTTCGCTCATTTCGTGCCTTTTTGCGCCTTTCCTTCTTTTTTTATTAGTTTCAGCTCCTTAGTTTATTCGAGTTTTTGTTGCTGCCGTTTCTTTAATTTTTTGCTGTTTGCTCCAAATTTTTTTTTGTTTGTTGTTTCGTATATTTTCCTTCCCCCCCCCCAACCCCCCCAATTCCAATTTTCCCCCCTTTTTTTCTCCCAAGGGCCTCCCCCCGCTCCACCAGCCCGTCGGGGCGGCGGGGCCAGATGCGGCCTCGGCTCAGCCACATCTTGAACTTTTTATGAAAAATGTGGAAAATATTTTCCTAGGGATGATAGATTGCCGACCGCAAATTCGGAGCCCTGAATTTCGCTCCGCAAAGGGGGATTAAAAAAATATAATATATATATATATGTGAAAAGGAGGGGAAAAGAGGGGAAAAATAAGAGGAGAGGGAAAATCAGGGAGGAAAGGGAAGAGAAGGCAACTCGGATCCGGCCTCCTGGATTCTTCCGAGGAATCTGGGAATTTTGGGGCTCCGGGAGCGCCAAGGCCGAGCCCCGCCGGCTCCAAGGGGGGACAAGCGGGCCGTGGCAGGGGGCTGCGGGTCCTTTTATCCTTCCAAAAGCCCAAGTAAATCAACCGCATGCGTTTCCCCCCGCGCAATCATTTATCCTTAAAATTCCGATGTCACTTCTCCGAATCCCCTTCGTCGGGAGAGAAATTGGAGCCCCTAAATTATCGGGGATTGGGAATTGGGAGAGGGAAGGGGGGGGGGAGACGGCGAGTGGGTTTTGGGGGGCACACCCCAAACTCTCCCCGCGGTGTGATCCCAAATTTCGGGATGCTGGAGGCAACGCGGATTCTTGTGCCCCCTGCCCGTGGGTTTACACAGCCAGGCGTTTGGAAAAACGGGAATTTCCTCTGTTTCACCCCGAAAGCTGCTCGGGGCTGACGTTTTGTTCCCCAGGGGCTCTGGCTGGCACCGAGGGGGCCGCGTACCCCCCGAAAATGGAGGAGTGGCCCCCGGGAGTGAACAGAAGCGGCTTTCCCGGGCCGGGCCAGGCGGTCAACGGGCTGGACAAGGCGGCCATGGACACGGGGGACATCAAATACCCGCAGGTGAGCGCTGGGGGACACGGGGGACATCAAATACCTGCAGGTGAGGGCTAGGGAGGGGACAGAGCACATCAAATACCCGCAGGTGAGCGCTGGGGGACACGGGGGACAGGAGGGGACAGGGAAGGACAAGGCTGCCATGGATGGCGACATCAAACACCCGCAAGTGAGGGCTGGGGGGACACGGGGGACAGGAGGGGACAGGGCACATCAAATACCCTCAGTTTGGCGCTGGGGGACACGGGGGACAGGAGAGGACAGGGCAGGACAAGGCTGCCATGGACGGCGACGTCAAATACCCGCAGGGGAGGGTTAGAGGGACACGGGGGACATCAAATACCCGCAGGTGAGCGCTGGGGGGACACAGGGGACATCAAATACCCGCAGGTGAGTGTTGGGAGGACACGAGGGACAGGGAATCATGGCACGAATGGGGCTGGAACGGGGCAGGGAAGGGAGAGCAGGGAGGTGGGCAGAGAGGACAGGGAGCCCCGTCCGCGCTATTCTGAGCCCCCTGTCCCCTTTGTGTCGCTGTCCCCAGCCCGGCGCGGGGCTCTCCTCCATGGGCACCTTCCTGCCGGCCTGCGCGTACCCCCCCTCCAGCCAGCCCGGCGTCTACGGCGGCTCCCCCAGCGCCTACATCGGGCCGGGCCCGCCCTGGCAGCCGCAGGGGAACCCGCTGGGCCACCACCACGGCGAGCTGGCCATGGCCTTCAAGCAGCCCGGCGGCCAAGGTGAGCGGCGACAGCGGGGGACAGCGCGGGGACAGCGCCGGGAGGGACCCCCGGGCTCGGGAGGGGCCGCCCCGTCGGGGATGGGAAGGATCCATCCCCTTTGGAATTGGAATTTCCCTGCCCGCCACGGAATGGGGAGGATTCCCGGGCCGCTCATCTCCCCCGGAATGTGGGAATGTCGGGGACAAAGCAGGAGCCTTTCCCCGCGTTCCCCCATCCCACCGATTCCAAAACAGAAGCCTTGACAGGGAATCATTAGTTCTCAGTAATTACCTATTAATTATTAACTGACAGCAATGATTTAACGATTTGTTTATAGTTATTAGTTATCGTAATTAACTGTTGTTTTATTTAATTGGCTCCCGCGGTTATTAATGAATTATTTCCCTCCGAACGCTACGCCGGGAATCCCACGGGAGCAATTCGAGGCTGTGCGAGGGGGCGTTGCTTTTATCTCCCGTTAATTATTTCTCCTCGTTAATAGAGCTCGATTCCCTCTTTTTTAAAAATCCCGATTTTTCCGCCCTGTCTATAAAATCCCCTTCGACATTTTTGTCATTTTCCCAGCATTAATTGACTTTCTATTATTTTAATTAATTTACAATTAATTTCCCGTATATTCGTCCTTTTAAATGTTTTTATTCCTCCGGGGTTAAATTTTTTTTTGGTTGTTTTCCCTTTTTTTGGGTTTTTTTTTTTTTGTTTGTTTGTTTCATTGAGTTTTTTATTTGTTTGGTTTTTAATCATTTTACCGTTTCTAACCTGCTGCGAGTCGCAACCTCAGCTGTGCCGGGGAGGAGCGATTGAGGGAGAAAATAAATAATTCAAACCGATTATTTATAGATTAAAAAAAAGAAGAAGAAGAAAAAAAAAGAGGGAGAGAAGGAAGGAAAAAGAATGAAAAAAAAAAAAAGAAATAAGGAAAGAAAAAAATAAGGATATAAAACGACCACAGACACCTTTGCATATTTAACATATTTTCGAAGTATTTAAAACTACTTGGAGCCTGAATTTTCAGATTTCCCAACTTTTAAGATGTTTTGTCCCTGGACTTTCTTTAAACCTTTGTAGGTTTTAAATTTATTAGTGGTCATTCTTTGCGTGTGGTTTTAAAATTGATTTTTATTTTTCTCTTTAATTTTTATTTTAAAATTTTCCCATTTTTTCCTTTGGATCGGTTTTCTTGTTCTGCCACTTTTCTGGGGCGAGGAAAATTGGATTAAAATTGGATTAAAATTGGATTATCTGACAAATGAGCTGGAGGAGGAAGGTTAGGGTGGGCTGGGGGTACCTGCAGCGAGTGGGAAAAATGGGAAAAGGCAGGAAAGAAGGAAGGAAAACCCAGCCAGGCAATTTCAGCCCTTTCCCAATTTCCTGAATTTCGCTCCCTGCTTATCCCCGTGCCTCCAGCAGCCCCGGGATAAATATCCCGATCCCTGAAGGCGGAATTCCCGAGCGCTGAGCTGGGGTGGGACGGAGCTCAGCAGGAATTCCATCACCTCAGGAATGGAGGCACGGTCCTGTCCCCTTCCCGGCACAGGCCCCTCCCAGGACAACCCAAATTTTAGGAATTTTTGGGGATGTGTTCTGTGCGTGGCTGGGGCTGGTCGGGGCCACCTGGCCAGGTCCCCCCGTGTCGCCGGCAGTGCCACCAGCGCTGTCCCTGTCATTGAGGGGTCACAGTCGCTGTTGGGGGCTCTGGGGGCGGTTTTGGGGTGTCCCCCCCGTGCTCGGAGCGCCTCCATCCCCCGCCTCGCCTGTCCTTCTTCCCTCTCCCCTTCCCGCAGGGGTGGACAGAAAACCGCCCAGCCCCGCGGGGAAAGCTGCGGAGCCCCTGAGCGCCGTCCACGGCATCGCCATCCCGACCTCCTCGTCCTAGAGCCGCCGAGCAGCGCCCAGGGACTCCTGGAACCTTGGGATGGGCTCCTGCAGCCCGGAGCGGGGACACGGGACAGCCCGGGCGGTGACAGGTGACTCTCTGCCTCGGCACACCCCCGGCAGGACATTCCCGGAGGGACGCTTGGCCTCCACTGGATCGGAAAGGGATGACGGAACAGACTCAGTTTTCCTTTATTTTATTTTATTTTATTGTATTTTATTGTATTTTCTCCCCCTCGCTTTCAGTTTTTCCTTCTCCTCCCCCGCACTCCCGAGGACTGTTGGGTGCCGTGATTCCCTCCCTCCCTCCGGGAGCATTCCCGGCTGTGTCCCAGCCCGGGGGAGCAATTCCCGGCTTCCCAAAGGGGCACCCTCCGTGCTGGAGCCCTTTCTCCAGCCCCTTCCCAGTGCCTCTGCCCCGCCATGGAAACGGACCAAAATTCCAGGACTTTTAATGGGATATTTCTATAACAAGGAACCTTAATAAAAAGTGACAACCGTGGGCACGCTGCAGTGACCTCCCTACTCAGAGCGAGCACCGTCGCTTCTCCAGAGCTCTCCGGGAGCGGGAGAACTCGGTGAGATCGCTTGGAATCTCTCCCTGAGCTGCCTCCAGGGATTCTCCCGCATCCCGGCGCTCCGTGGCCGCCTCCCGGCCGCTGGCGCTGCCCATATCCAGGGGACTGTCCCCGTGTCCCCGCGGTACGGGCAGCCGGCTGGGATGCGCTCGGGATGGGGCTCTGCATTCCCCGGCTGCTCCAGCTGGCGTGGATCCCTGCATTGTGTGGGAAGGGGCAGGTCCTGCAGCGGGACAGGGAGGGAAGGTCCTGGCAGCGGAAAACACGCCGGGATTGCTGCGGAGAGCGCGGCTCGGTGGGAGGGAGGGAGGGAGGGAACAGGGAAATGCCAACGCAGCCCAGCCCGGGACACGGGACACGGTTCTGTCTCCAACCTCGGCAAAACTCGGTTCTGGCTCTGCTGAAGCCAGGCTCTGATTCCCAATGCAGGGCTCGGCAGGGAGGGAAGCTGGGAAATGCAAGGAGGCGAGAGCAAAGTCCCAGGGCAGGATCTGCAGCCCGACTGCGGCTGAGTGGATTTTAGGGATGTGAAGATGGAGGAGCCACCTGAGCCAGAGAGGAGTGGCCCCGTCCCCTGCCGGGTTTATCCTTTAAAAGCTGCATTCCAGAGGGTGGAAGAGCAGCTTTGGGAATGATGAGGGACAGCAAAACCCTTAAAGTGTGGTGTTTGCTGTGTGCCAGTTCTCAGCATCCACTGGGGCTCCTCATCTCTGCATTGCAGGCAGGAATATCCCTCTGGATACGGGACTGGGGCTCTGGGATGTGATTCCTCATGCTCTTATCCCAGGCAGGGATATCCTTCTGGATTTGGGACTGGGGGTCTGGGATGAGCAAGGCTGGAGTCAGATCCTTTCCATTCTTGTCCTGCCCGGATGATGCACAAGCACCTGAGTTATTCCCATCCAAAACTGCCATGGACCTGCCAAAACCCTGGAAAAACAGCTGGATGCTGAGCACAGTCTCAGGGCAAAGGTGGCCATGCCTGGGCACTCTCTGGCAGTGATTAAAAATGCCATTTTCATTATTTCCTGTGGAGAAGGGATTTTCTCCTTAAACATCCCAGAATATTTCCCTGTGCCCAGCGGAATTCCTGGAGCAGGCAGAGCCACCAAAACCCCCAATTCAGAGGCCCTAAACCAGCTGGCACCTGTTAGGGGTGTCCAGGAACATCGTGGGGTCCCCAGGGAGGAGGGATAAAGGAGGAGCTTTGCTGGGTGGGAAAACACCTTCAGGACTTGTATTCCCATGGGAGCACGGGGAAAATCCCTGGGGAAATTCAGTGGCCTGCTCATGGAAAATACTGGGAGAAGAGGAACCCCTCACATAAAAAAAAAAAAAAAATTAAAAAAACCCAAATAAATAAAATAAAATGGGATTTTTAGGCAGGGTGAGGTGAGGTGCTGCTCTGCCTGGCCACAGAGCAGGCAGCCTGACAGGATCCAGGGAAAATTGGACTTGATGGGAGCAGAACTTTTGGAATTGATGGGAACAAAGCGAGGGGGTGGAAACAATCAGCCCTGACACTTCTGCAGCCGTGGTCCTGTCAAAATCGATCCCATCCCTCGGAACACAGCAATTCCGACGGAATGGAGTTTGCAGCGTGGAAAAAAACGAGGAACCGTTTCCATCAGCTCTACCTGCTCCATATATCTTTAGCACCCTTTGGGGAGCACAGAGCAGGATGGGGAATGTTACTGGAGACTTGCTGGTGGAGCCCAGATTGATTTCTTTCCTGGCGTGTTTGGAATCCTAAGGATTTAAGCCCATCCCTCTGCTGTAGGAACGGGCTGGGGGACTGGGGCTTGCAGATGTTTGGCACCAGCACAGGATCTGCTTTTCCAGAATTCCAGCACTCCTTGGTCCAGGCTGGAGAAGCTGGAAGGGGCTGGAGGGGATCCCCTGGGATGGCCCAGGGAAGATCCAGACTCACCATCCTGTGGATGATCCCAAGGCACCAAAGACTGGGCCCAGGCTGGAAAAGAGCTGATCTAAAATTCCCAAAGTCAGATTGCTGCAAATCCTTTGGGTTCTTTGGAGCTAAATCCTCCTCCTTGTGCAGGAACTTGGAAAAATCCGTGCCCAGCTCTCCGGAGAAGCTGCAAATCCCCCCCCTCATTTGCAGGGTTATAAACCTGCCCACAACTCCTTAAGTTGCACTTGGAAATGGGAATTTGATTCCCAGCTCCCTCAGGCACTTCATAACCTCTCCCTTAACAGGGAGTTTTTCATTTTCAGGGAATCCAGCAGGTTTTTACCTCTGGAAACCTTCCCCAAAAGTTTTCTGCTGCTCCCAGCCCACGGCCCAGGAAAATCCCACTTCATTTCCCAGCGAGAGGCTGGAGAAGGGGCTTTTATTCCCTGGAGCTGCTGGGAGAGGTTTGGAATGGGAAGATTTTGAGGAGAAGGGTCAAGGATCAGTCTGGGATCAGCCATTCCCTGGGATTGAACGGCTGCAGGAGTGGGGCCCTGGTGGAGTTTTGACAGAACTCTCCATAATTTGTAGAAAACTGGGGATGATAAATGGCAGGAAAAAATTTCCCTGAACCTTAATAATAGCTTCACTCCACCACCAAGCAGCTCTGTGGGTTCGGGGCTCCTTGCAGAAGCTTCCAAGGGATTTTGGAGGAATTGCGAAGGGAGATCAATGACACGGCTGACAAACCTTTTCTTCCTTGTTATTACTGATAGGAATTTAATAATTCCCATGGGGAAAACCTCCCTCCTCCTTGCCATCCCATCTCCTGCAGCAGAAATATGAAAGTCCTTTTAATCCCAAAGTTATATGGACCTGGCAAGGAGCAGCGAAGCTTTCACTCCTGGAGATATCCCCGTTTTGGCACCGTGACCCCAGAAAATGATGTCATGTGGGATCTCTGTGCCAGAGTTTTCCCTTTCTTCTTTGGATTTGTGGCGATGTCAAAGTTCCTCTCTGGAGCAGGTCTGGTTTTAATATTCCGTATTTACGTTTTTCATTTCGGGGCTGGCTGGAGCCTCTGTCGGTCCCAACCTCGTGGATGCCGCCGGAAGGAGTGAGGAAGAGGAGCTGGGATGGATTGATGGGCACTGTTGGATTCCTAAACCTTGGGAAGTGGCCCTAAAATAGTCCCTGCTCATTCCTCAGGAGCTGTAATTCCCTCTGCTCCGCTCCACTGCTGTTCCTGCGCCCCTTCCCACAGGGAACACCTCCCTTTGCCAGGAAGGAGCTTGGAGCTCATCCTGGAGCTGCCAAGCCTCATGAATCCATGAAAAATCCCCGGGAAGTGAAAGACACAAGGTCCCAAAGCATCCGTGCCCTGTGGGATGGTGAGGAGCACAGTTTTCCAAAGATTTTCCTGATCCTAGGAGGAGATAGGAGGCTCATGGAGATGGATCCACATTCCTTGGGCTTGGTGCTCCCATGGGATAAAGTGGGAATAAACCAGGCAGCATTGGAGAATCCCGGCTGCCCAAAACTTTTCCTGTAGGAACACTCCAGAGCCAGCAGGGAATTAGTCTTTTGGCTCCCTTGGATTGCCAGAGCCATATTTTAAGGTTGGGAATGGTTGTCAGCATCCAGGCACTGCCCCTGGAGCCGGTGACGCAAATGGGACAGGAGGCAAGGTCAGGTTACGGGTGAGGCAGCTCCAAAGCCTCTCCTGGAGAACCAGAGCTTTGGGGAAAGGGATGAAATGTGCTGGGAGAGAGAGAAAAAAATCCCAGTAAAGTGCTGGAAATCTGCTGGAAAGGGAGGATAAAATTCCCTCTGGCAGGAACTCGGTTGCTCTTGGAGGCAGCCGGTGAATTCCAAAGCCATGTCCCTCAAACCCAACACTCCACCCGGAATTGGCAGCAGAGGGTCCTGTGCCAGTGGGGTTGGAAGTACATCCATAAGGGATTCCCATCTTGGATCTTGGGTGACTTCTATCCTTCCAGGAGGGCCTGGAGACCTCAAGCAAGGCTGAAGGGGGAGGTGAGAAACCACCGAGGGAGTCCATGGAAGGATGGTCGGAATTCCCTGCATTTCACCTGCTGGGTTGATCCCAAGACCCTTCCAAGGAGTTTTGCACCTCCAGGAACTTCCCTGCCTAGTGAAAATTCTCTTTCCTTCGTTCCACCTTGGATGAGGCAGGGCCACCTGGCTCTATCCACTCTGGGAATCACCTCCAGGAAAAATTCCATGCCAGAAAGAGCTTCCAGAGCCAGAGCTGTCAAACTCCATCTTGCTCCGGGATTAAATTCCCTCCCGTCTCCCAAGCAATAACAAAACACCAACATTATGGAAAAGCTGTCAGGAATCCGATTGTTTTCCAAACACCACGGATTCCCTCTCCATTTCAAGGAATGAGTAGGGTTGCTTTTTGAGCTTGGAAGGATTGAGTAAGCACAAAGATTCCCAAACAAAACTCCGTTGTTGCAGGAGAGCAGGGAAGCAGCTGTGGGATAG